AAAATATATTAATGAATTTGAGGATGAAACCTCTTCACAATAGAACACTACTTTTCATGAATATTCTTGAGGTGAAAAAATTATCTTAAATTACTATAAAACTATTGGAGTAATTTTAGAATCAATTTTCAATAATTGAATTATTTGATAAAATTATAAAATGTTTTAAGGCTTGAATAACTTGAATCAAACTGATACCATCCTTTAGATAGGCATTGTGAGGGTATTATAATTTTTCTCATACGTAACTGCACTTTTAAACTTAAATATGGTTTAGTATACTAGAATCTACCATTTAAAGATACCTAATCAAGCTTATGATTCTTCTTTAAAATGGAACAAAGTAGTTAGGTGACCAATCGTACTTAAATAAAAAATATTTGTGATAACTTTTAAAGTTTATGTTTAGTAATAGGTCTACAGATTTATACATTATAACAAATCAAGTTCATGTGAATCATATAATAGTAAAATTTAGAAATGTGAGCTAACCTGCATAATATCCTCTAGGATTTGCATCTAGTGTAAAGATTTCAATTGCTTAACTCATGTTTGCTATACAATTAGCTCTATACCAAATAATAAAAGGAAAATCAAAAATCATAAATGATAAATAAAATCTAACAAAGAGAATCTGCTTTTAAACTGTTAAAACAGTTTAAAACTAAAGGAAACTAGATTCAAAATATAAATTTCAGCTCACTCTTTTACTTGCATGAAGTTGTAGCATTGTCTCCAATAGATTCATGACGTTGTAGCATTCTTGTTGACATCCAATGTGTTGTAATAGATTAACTACTTACAACAACAGGAAATTTTTCATTACATTCATATTTGCATCCAGCATGTTGCACCGTGAGATATAAAAGTGAGAAAACAACACATAAAAAAGTGATTAGCTGATGATGAACAGGTCTAACAAAGAACTGATGTTTCAAAGATTCAATAGCCAGACAGTACCAAATCATGAAACAGGAGAAATGGACTATCTCAATGCTATCATATTTGTTCCCTTTCATCAAATGTGCTCTTATGACCATAAGTATGCAAACAAAAACCTAGATTATGTAATAAAATCTTTTATACACTTAATTTATGTAACAAAATCTTTTAATTTATCAGTTTTGAATTTCAATTTTAATTTTTATTTAATAATTTTTAATACTAAAAAAAAAAAAAAAAAACTCCACCAATTTAACTTAAGGACTTTATCTAAGTCTTTTCATCTTTCAAAACAAAATAGAAAAATTAAGGGAGGTAAAAGGAGAATGCACCTTAGGATGCTATTTTAATTTTATTTTATGTTAATTTTTTAATTTTATTCCCTAAATACAAAAACAATGTTGGTAAGAAGTTGCTCTTGATCAATTAAATTTTATTATGCTATACTTATCGATATTATTAATTTTTGAATTAATCACGTGACTACAATTTTTTTATCATTGAAATTTGAAAGAATTAATGAGAGGAAGTTAAATACTAATTGAGAATCTCACATAGTCAATGTATGAGTTAATAATAGGTTATATAGAGATTATACAGTAGTTAAAACTTGTTAGTATTTAATTACTGGTGTTTTCCTTTGAAAAAAAAAAAACATTAATTAGGAATTGAGTTTTATAAGAATTATTTAATTTCAATATATTTATGTAAAAAATTAATTAATTTGTAGGTTTAGGTGTAAGAGTATGATTAAAGGTAGTAATTTACTTCCCGTTTATCATTGATTCCATGTTCAATTAAGACTGATAACCATCAAAATTTTACAACTTCTCAATAAAATGACATTAATCAAGACTTTCCATGTTCAATTTAATTTTTAGCCTTTAAACAAATTTTTTTAAATGTCTTAAGGCTTAAATGACAACTTTATCCTTTTATTGCTGGCTTAATCAAGTGACAAATGTCACTTAATGATATTAGGACAAGCGCTAACACAAATTTAAAATTTTAGAGACTACTTTCTTTTATTGTTAACACAATTTCTTTCCAAATCATTTTTAATGACATTTATGATTTGGCCAACGATTCCTAATTAGTAATAATTTTAATTGTACTTATTATTTATAATAAACAATTAAAATTGTTTCATAGTTTTTTAAACACTGATTTGGGGATAGCTATTTAATGGCTTTAAAAACAATTGAAGGTTAGATTTGGTCATAAAAATATAAGATAGGTATTGTACATGTTTACAGATATTGTATATCTTTAAAAAAGGTTGAAGGCTATATTTGGAGATAAAAATGTTGGATATAAGTGATTGTTATGAGTGATTCATTAATGACAATTCATTTATGTGATAAAAAATTTGTTCAAGGGCTAAATAGAAAAAATAAAGTTCATACAATAAGTTAATTCTGTGTTTTACTTTTTTTTACTTTTTTGCTCTTGTTAAAATAATAAAAAAATGTTATTAAAAGTGATTTTTTTTAACTTTTTTTTTTATGAGTGAAAATGAATAAAATTACACAAAAGCATCGTGAAACCTGACTTGATTCAAGCTCATTTATTTAGTTGTATAAATTGTGAGATTGAAGTGTACATACTATGTACAAATTAGTTAAAATTTAGTGTGTCTATATCTTTTAAAGGTATAAAAATACAAAATTTAAATTTTCAAATACTTATATAGGAAAAGTCACCTTTAAAAATGCATCTAACAGATTTATGAATTTGAAAATAATCATGTAAGTCTTATTTGCATGAATTTGAAATTTTCAATATACTTTAATAATAAATAGTTTTTAATATTTTAATAATTATGTTAATATTATTTGAAAAAAGAAACAAATTTTCTAAAACATAATCAAACAACAAAAAAATTTTTCGTTAACTCATCTAAATAATAAAATATTTTTATGTTTTCAAAAAATATAAATATTTTTCGAAAAACATTTTTTAAAAGTTAATTTTTATGAAATAAACACAACCTAAATTTGAAATTCAAATCCGCTTCTATCAAATTGAAGTTCCTAAAGGTAATTTGGGGTGTGTTTGGATATAGGGTTGTGCAAACAATCGGGTCAATTTGTTTGATTTAAAATTTTCGAAAATCGAGTTAACCAATTTAATTTTTATGGTAATTGAACCGATCGATCATAATATAAAAACCAATAATTGATTGAACCACTTTAGTTCGGTTCGTTCGATTATTTACCCCAATTAACTCTTTAATCCAAATGAACTAACGACTCACTTTGACTCGGTTACCCACTTAAATTCAAGTTTACGAATCAACTCTCTCCCAACAAACGCAAACGGTAAAAAAAACATTTTAAAGCAAATAGTACAACAAAATTGGTTGCTTTGTAGTCAACAACGTTAAACATCAACAATATTTGTTGTTTAAACTTTAAAAGTGATCAACGAAATGATACAACAACATTTTAAAGTTTTCATCTTAAATTTTTTTAGAGCATAAGAATCGAATTAGTAAGCATAAAATTGTCGCAAATAAAAAAAATACAACAAAATTGGCTGTTTGGGTCACTACCTTTGATGATTTAATGCGATGATGCTTGCCTCTCTAGGTGTAGGACCGATCCTTTTGGTTTGGCTCTACCCTATGCTGGACTAGCTGATGAAGGAGGAAAACAAAATCGAATATGATGATGGATGGAGTTATAATGATTTTAGATTTATGATTGGTTGAGTTGTGACTTGAGAAAATGAGAAATAGAAGAAACAGAAGCAAAGGGAAAGGTGAAAATGAAAGGATTGAAGAGTAAAGACCATGACATAATTAAGAGGAAAAGGATTTGGGTATCAGGGTTTCACACCATACAGTAAAAAAATGTAAAATAAAAGAGAGATAATGTTAAAAATATTAATAATATATATTTATTTTGTTTTTATTATTAAAATACATTCAATTTTTTCTATTAGTTCGGGTATCAAAATCAATTATCAAATATCGATCGATTAAATCATTAAAATGAAAAATTAAATTGATCATAATCATAATCGATTAAATCAATCTAAATTAATTAAATATAGTCGGTTCATGTCGATTTGATCGATTATAATAGAATATTTATCTATCTTATTTGAATAAATATTTGAAAGAGAGATTTCATTTTAGTCTATTTATTTTTAAAAGTTTAAAATTAATTTATTTATTTGGATTTAAAAAAAAAAGAAGGACAGAGAATTTCAATAGAAAGAATTTTAAGGTGGAATTTGAACAATTTTTTTTCAAAATTCATTCAAATCTTTTTCTCACTTTATTTCATATGATCAAACTCTAATATATATAATTTTATTTAACTCTAACGTATATATATTTTTTATATTATTAATAATATCCATATATTTTTATAAATATAATTATACCCATATTGCATATATATATATATATATGTAATTTTATCTTCAATATCATTTTCTTATTTTATAATTATTTTTATTTCATTAAATTCCAATAGATTAATTTTTTCTCAGAAATATTTATCGGGACAAGGATCAAATTTATCACTCTACTAGATCGGGGTTCCATATTTACCATTCTATTTTTTTATACAATTTTACCATCTTACTATATTTTTTTATGTAATTTTAGTCATATGTGAATGAAATAAAATATTCTATCTAAACTAAAGAATATTTCATTAAGAATTTTAATTATTTTTTAATTTTTATTATATAAAAAGAAAAATACTTTATTTCAAATTCAAAAATTCGGTGAGAATAAGATTATTTTTAAATGAAAAAATGGCATTGTTGATATTTTTGGAAAAAAGTAAATATTAATATTTTATTTTGATTTTTGTTATCCTTATTTAGGATGAAATAAAATTTTTTATTCTTATATAATAAAAATTAAAAAATAATTAAAATTTTTAATGAAATATTCTTTAGTTTAAATAAAACATTTTATTTTTATTTATAAGCAACTAAAATTGTACAAAAAAAAGTTGTAGGATGGTAAAATTATATAAAAAAGTAGTGTTATATGGAGCCCTCAATCTAGTAGATTTAAAAGAAGACTAAAAAATCAATTGCGATTTGATTAAGGGAGATTAAATACTACAAAATATAGCATTAGAAATTGTCTTGGTTTTTAATGCAGAATAATGGCACCTCTCGTGATTCGTGAAAATCACCTTATAATGCTCGTTCAAACAATAGCAGAAAAAAAATCGAAATTAGAAATTTACAAAAACGCCCTTTCTTAGGCCTAAAACCCTAAACCCCCAGAAAATTTCTGACTCCGTTCGGCTGGATGTTATTTTTCTTTTAATTTCTCTGCGTCTTCGATCTTCGAATTCTCTTCTCCGAACCACCTAATCATCATTAGCTGACGGTAAAGTTTATTAGTAAAGCCATCTTCTCTTCTTCTTCTTCTTTTTTAATTTTTGAAATAGCAGGAATAATTGATTAATGTAGTACAATCAGTTTCTTCACTTAATTTTAATGATCAATCTTAGCTGGTTTTATCTGAGAAACGACTAAAAGACTTGATTTTGTAATTGTTTGTTTGTTTGATAAAGTTGGTAGTGAAAGAATGTCGGTTTCTGAGGAACAAATCACGAAGCTATTCAAAGCGCGTAGAACGGTAGTGCAAATGCTGAGGGATAGGGGATATTCCGTCGATGATTCGGATATTAAAATGACAAGGCACGAATTCATTGAGAAATACGGTGACAATGTCCATCTCAAAAGGGATGATCTTTTAATCCATTGCAGCAAAGGAGATACTCCAACTGATCAGGTACATGTCTCTCCCCCCCCCCCCCCCCTTTTTTTATACATTTTATGCTTATTATTAGTTCTTAGTTGCAAGGTGTGAGTCAATACCTAGTGATATAAAGGTTCATTGCAGATTAATGCCTAGTTTTGTTCTTACTCATTCGATTCTATTTGTAGAAACTTTAGCTTCCTAGGGCTCTGTTTGATTGGTGCTTATGCTGTTTTGCTTTTTTGCTATTTGTCATTTGTTTTTGGTTCATTTTTTCATTTTGCATTTTTACTTTTTCACTCTGCATTGAAAAAAAGCAAAAAACAAATAGCAAAAGTGCAAATCATTAATAAAAAACTTGAGGAATATGCTGGTTTTCATTTTGTCTTTCCAGTATGGTTGGAATTATGCAGTTTATTCGATCATATAATCTTCATAAAATTTATTCTTTTTTGGATAATTGAATTTATATTCCAAAATCCAAAGAAAGTTGGAAACCTGCTATAGAGTTCTGCAAGCTGGAAAAAAGCTGAATCAGCAGCTATCTTAGAAAGCTAACTTAAACTCCAACTTATACAAAGATCATTGGAAAGTATAACAGAAATGAAATACTACTAGCATGAACATTGGTCACAAGAGAAAAATAAATGATCATGATCCTCTTCCTCCTCCTGACAAAGTAAGCAGGTAGTGGATGCAACTGTTTTTTCCATTAGAGTAAAATTTGGGGGTTTCCCTAGAAATTACACCAATAAACTCGAGTTCCAGGAACTTATACCTTCATCATGACTATCTGAGGAGATCTGATTACCTTCCTTCTGCCTGAAACAGGGGTTAATAGTCCAGAGTAGTAGCATTTGCTGATTTACCAAATAATTGTTTCCAATTTTGACAAAACGCAGCGTTTCCTTTAGGAACAGTATTCTGATATGGCTAGCCACAGATTGGATGACACACTGCTGTAGTAATGCTCACCTTTTTCTCAGTAGCTATGTCACCTATGTGCCCTAGGTCACACGTACACACCATCAATCACCATAGAAGCAGTACTTGAAGAAGATGGAATGTTCAAGACCATCACCAACTTTGCCGTTGAATCAAATTTGCCTAACCTGTCCTCCAAGTATCTAACAACTGAATGCTTTTTAGTAGAAATACAGCCACCTAAACCATTAGATTGTTTCTACCCATTTATAGATGAAGCTGACTTCCCCATTGATTCAAAAGAGAATGAAATAAAGAAAAAGGAGAATAAGAAAAGAAAACTGATAAAAATGGTCAAATTCAAGCCAAAATGATCAACAATGGTGAAGAGAATGGGGGGAGAGAACAGCCATGTTAGACCTGCTAACATGAGCTGAGAGAGAAAGCTATCATGCGCCCTCCACTATTCCATAACATTTAAAATTTACTTTCATTGCTACCATGAATACATAAAATTCATCATTGTCTTAATGATTGATTGATGCTTCAGTGATTCCACTGCTCAAATATGTATACTTTTTTGTCGTTGCTCTCACGTGTCTTAAACCTGATATGTTTGTATGAAAATAATTTTACATGTATAATCCAAAGCTTCCTATTGAAAAAAGGACAGCTTGTTTTGTTTTTAGAATCTTTGTTAACTGAAATGGTAGTAGAAATTTGAAGCTTTAGGAACAATTTTTGAACTTCACATTTTAAGTTCACTGAGTGCTTGGTTTGTACTTTGGTTGACTGGAGAAATTTTCTCCTTGCCTCTTGACAAGGTATGTGTATAACCTCATAATTTGTAAAGATGTTGCTTCACTAGCAGTTTACTAAGGTAATTTCATTCAATATCTTGGGGCTCTTGGAAAGCTAAAGACCTTTCAAAATTGGTCACGAGGGCTGATAAATTGAAAAGAATTGCTTTCTCAAATTTTGGGTTTTAAAATATCTTTATGTAGATGACGGAGAAGAACAATTAAGTGGCGAGTGAAAAAAAAAAATGAAATGACTAAAAGGCTACATTAATAGATTTATATCATCACATTTGAAACATTGCAAAATGCTGTGAATGATTGGACAGTATGTTTGTAACAATTGATTGAGAATCTAAGGATGCTATTATTATCACTTAGATCAATTGTAAAGTAGGGAAGTCAATTAGCTGTCTTTCTGATACAGTTAATATTAGTAAACTTACTTTGCTGCGGCTACAAGTGGTTTGTAGCACGAATTTATTTGGTCATTCATCCCTTGTTAAAAACTTACCTTGCTCTCTACCATATATAATGTAATTATTCACATGTGCTTTTCTAGTTGCTTAGCCCTTAGTGTTGGGATCATGGTTTCAAGTAGCGCTCCCTTAGCAGAATAGTGGCTACTATTTAGCAGTAGCGGCACCCTCCACCATTGCTATTTACTGCAATAGGGGTGTGCAAGGTGATTTACAGGTGTAATGGCTTTTAGCGGCCATAAATAGTGGTGTAGAGGAAAATAACGTTTGTAACGGGACTCTAAAGCCACTATTGCCTTTTTTATTTTCAGTTCCATACCAAAACAAACAAAAATCCACTCCATATCCAGTTAATTCAATCAAAATTAAACAGATTTAAGTCATCATCAATATAAAAAGATAGAATGGATTCAAGGTAATAAACAAATATTCACTAAAAATTACCATTTTTCTTCACGTGTTTTAATATTAGCTGGGGATGGTCGTGAGAGAGAGCTCTGTTATGGCTTCCATAGGTGTTGGCTTTACTCTTGAAAGATATAGATAAGCGAGACTTTATAGTTGAAAATTTTGAGGAGGAGATTGTGATGATATGAAAGGAGCACGAGGGTGGTTTGGTTGGGTCAGGTCATGGTGGTTCTGTTGGGGAAGAAAAGTGGAAATAACTAGGGGAAAAACAGAGATGCGTGGGAAAGGGGCATATGGAAGGTTGCTCATCTGTGACACGAAATCAAAAGTGGTTTTTGACTTTTATTATTTAGGTGAAAATCTGAAGAGAGAAAGACAAATGGATGGTGGAAAATTGGTATTTTAATAAATTTTTTTGGTAATTTATATGAAAATTAAAAGGTAATTGAGTTGTTAATTATTTTAAGAGTTTAAGAAAGCAAATATGGGAAAATGGGAAAATTTGAAAGGCTGTCATTTGTGGTTTTTTTAAAAGTTAAAATTAATTTTTTATTTTCTCTTTCCTTGGATAAAAATTTTGAGAGGGAAAGGCACATGATTTGTAGGAAATGGAAATTTGAGAAATTTTTTTGAATTATTTAAGAGGGAAATATACACAATAAATAATGAATTTTATTTTCATAAGTTTAGTATATGTTTTATTCTCATTAAAAAAATATATCTTAAATGATTAAAATTTAGTATTATTTATGTTATTTTAATTGTTTTTATATTTTTGGTGTTTGATTTAAGTTAGATTGACAAGAATCTTGTTAATTAATATATTAAAACTTTCGGCTATTATTTTTCTAATTAATTTAAAATTAATGAGCTTAATTTTATATACTTAAAAAAAATATAATTTCACATATAATACTATTTTTTTAATCTCATGTATTTAAATTTATCATGATCACAAAATTTATGGATATGCATATTGAACAAGTTTAAATATGTATATTGCCAAGTTATGTTATAAAAAAATAATAATTTATTTGATCATATAAGTAAAGGAATTAAAATGTCATGAATTATTTTAGATAGCATAAAATAAGAGTTTTCATGGATAAAATTATTATTTTCCCAAATTTGGTGAGTTGTGCAAAAATAAAAAAATTCACAACCTTGGTGAGTGCAATGATTGCTATTTCATCCATTATGTCCGCAATTGCAATAAATGCTATGCAATCGAAAACTTGACCGCAACTGCAATTTAAATCCCTATCCCAAGTTGGGATCCCTCATTTTATGTTTTCAAAGACAAGATTATAAGCATCTCAAATAGCAGTCTATGCAGCTATTTCAGAATCACCAGTTTATAAATCAGAAGCCTATCTTTAGATTTTGGGAAAGGTTTAGAAATCTTTTGAACAAATATGCTGAAGCGTGCACCCTCTCGTTGTAACAATTGCTTAAGTAGTTGTGCCAAAATTTGTCTTGAATGTTTTCATTTTTCTTTGTTTCCAACTAGCACCATTGTTCTATTTTGCATCTTCTGTCAACTTTTACTGTGAAGCATCCAAAACAATCAAGTGAAAATTGGTAATGTTGTATCCTGACTTGAATATTAGAATTATAGAGTAATGCCTTTTTATCCGTTACAAATAATTTTATAGCCAACCATGTGCTGATGTTTCTTCTTCTTTTTCTTTCCTGTTCTTAATAATGATGTACTGATGGTTTATCTGTCTCTAGATTTATGTCTTCTTTCCTGCAGAACAAAAGGTTGGTGTTCCTATGGTAAGAAACTGTGCAAAGCGTATGAAAGCTGATAATGTTTTTAATGCAATTTTGGTTGTTCAAAAAGCTTTGACAGCCCCTGCAAAAGCAGCGATAGGTGAAATTAATTCGTATTTTTCCATGGAAGTTTTTGAGGTGAGCATGATTTTTTTCTTCCTTCATTCATGAGCATTTTTAAAAGTTGGAAATCCTATGCATTGCTTTTGTTTTGTCATATAAAACTTGGCTGTGTTTAGAATCTATATTGGCAATACCATATTTTATTAAATGTTTCTGTTCACTAGAGCATGATGGCTGAATCGTGTGATTATGATTGTCTCTAACAAGTATTTAAATGAATGATGTTATTCAAAAAAATTGTCAAAGTTTACTGATAGTTATTCTAGTCAAGACTCAAGGTAGGCTTATCCCTAAAATAAATTTTCTGTCTGCAGTGCAAGGAACAAAGTTGAAACTTAGAGATAGTTATTCTATTTGTCATTTTGTTATAGGAATATCATACACTCAAGTACTGTAAGTCTTTTGAATTAGCCAATATTTGTGATGATCTACTACTTTTATATTTTTATTAAATGCTCAGAGTTGTTTTCATTTTTTAGGCAACTTGTACGTGTGTGTCACAAGATTTGGACAACTTTATTCAAATGCTAACTTTTTTAACGTCAGCTGGAATCACAAAATATTAGAAAGTAATAGAACTCAGACAACTTACAATTTAAATCTAGGCAAGTACTAGGAAAAAATTCTAAAATCAGGAGAAAAGTAAATCACCATGCATAATAATGGTAACAATATTTAGGGTAACCATTAAAGATTTCCATGAAACTCTTCTAGAGCCCTCCCATTTATTGTTTAATGTTTTGGTTCATATTTCAAATTCACTTGTTTCATGCTGCATTGCTGTTGGCCATATATCATTAAGAACTATTAACATGTGATGTAACATTCATAATAGAGTTCTGAATCCATGAATCTGGACAGAAATTATGGATATATCCTTCCAATTGTTGGAAAGATTAAATCTCTAAATAATATTAGCATAAGTTGTTGCATTTAAGCATAGAGTTTAGCTGAATTAGCTGTGTGCTTTCAAAGGACATTCTAATATAACCAGTTGCATACAAACATATATTTAGCTGAATTAGTCATGCCCTTTCAAGGGAGATCCTAACACTTAACAACAGTCTTGCAGTTCATTTCAGAGAAATGGAATTCAGTCCAGAATTCAAACCTAGAAATGTCTATGAATTTTTTTTTTTTTTTATATATTTCATACCAAAACGCATCCATATCATAGGCTGTTTAATTTATGAATTTTGTTTACGGAATTTTTTTGTATTAATGGTAAGAGGGTTTTCTTAATTACATAACAATTTTTGGGGAGACAAAACTGCTTTCTTAACAATTTTAGTTGTATTTTCTATGATTTTTGCAAGAGCTGTCAAGGATGACAAATGATGGTTATGTAATGTCTATGCAGGAGTCAGAGTTGTTGACCAATATAACAGAACATATGTTTGTCCCAAAGCATACAGTACTGAAAGATCAAGAAAAGAAGGAATTACTGGAAAAATACAGGGTAAAAGAAACACAGGTTAGTGATTGATTGGCAACTCAATAATGGAAGTTTTAGATCTAAATTCATGTTAAATGGTCTGTGCCGGTGCCTTTGGCTTTGATGAAACTAGTTTATTGTGGTTATTTCTTCGGTAAATTGATACATATGTTGTTGCTAACACTTAAGATATGAATAGTTTCTATCCACCTGGTTCCTCCACCTGAATGAAAAGTAGGCAAAAAGGGAAAAAAAGAAGACAAAACAAAAAGAAAAGAACAAAACAAAAAATGGAAGAGTACCAATCTTGAGGTTGTTGCAAACTTCACTTTTAATATGCATTCTAAAACTTGAATTTTGGGCTTTAAAATGGAGCTGGTGGGACTAATGATAATTCTTCAAATGACTTTTACTTGCTTTGTCTTATTCAGCTTAAGTTGTGTAGAGATCATTTAGTGCAAAAGAATATGATTTAATTTACCAAAGCTCCCAAATATGAAAAGCTTTTAGGTACAAGTGAGACATTCTCAAGCTATTTCTTGTCTTCTAGGGAATAGTGATTGTTACTGTTAAGCAATAGGAAATATATTATAATTACATAAATATCCAACTTGAATCAAAGGAAATAATTTAAATTCTAAGAAGCTCCTTGAAACCAAGTTCAACTAAATTACTTATTTACTTGTATCCCCTCAAGGTTTTCTGAATTAGAAAACACACAACAAAGAAGGTTTAATCGTACAATTGAATTACTTATTTACTTGTATCCCCTCAAGGTTTTCTAAATTAGAAAACACACAACAAAGAAGGTCAAATTGTACAATTGATTGCTCAATTGTCACAAACTTGTGGGTTTAGCTCCTCTAAATTAATTTGGCCAAATAGAGTCCCTATACTTTTATGAATGGTTATGTAGTTCAATCACTAACAGAGTTAAAATCTGTTGTCATTTTCGCTGATGTGGCTTATAATCATGTTGACATTGCATTGATCCCAATAACCGGGCATTTTCTGAATCTCTCCAAAATTAAAACTGGTGAGGTGAATTCTTTTTACCACATGGCCTCTAACGTGGGGTTGTTTGGGCAGCCAGCATGGCATCTTTTTCCCTCTAATTTTCATTTCTTTCACTATCAAAACACAAATCCATCTAAGCCCCATGCACCAAAACAAGTCAGCAGCTCAGAAACCCAAAATCAGTAGCTGCATTACCCCAAGTTCATCATCACAGTGCTGCCACTAGACTCGAAAAAATTCAATCCAGAGAAAGACCTCCAATTCCATATCCTTCTTTAAGGAGGAGATTCAATCGATTTGAGGGGATTAAAAAAACTTCAGGTCAATGCACTGCATAAAAAAGAACAATTAATAACAAAAAAAATGACAGCAAAAAATATTAAACCTCCTCCCACCATCACTACAGCTTATCATCACCAAACCCTTATTCCCTCCACGTTCCTGTAGCTGCAAAGGAAAAGGGAAGATTGCTTTTATCTCCCTGTAGCTGCAGCTAACCGAATTCATCATGTTTTGGCATCTAGAAATTTGATACTTAACACCACATGAGCTATAATTTGATCCTTTACAATCCACATAAATCCTCATAGATAGCTTTATTTTGCAATTATTTTAGTGAAAACTTCACCAGTACAGGAATAAGGTCTGCTGCTTAGGTTTTTTTTGGTGTAGGGGGTAGTCATAGTTGGATTGATATTTTGAGTTGTGGAACAGTTTTCAACCATAATCTAGGGTGTATTTACTTCGGAAAACATAAAGGTGCAAGTTTTTATAAACATACAGGTGTATTGATATTTGTAAAACCCATAATATATACGATTATGTCTTCTTCATCTTCAGCTTCTTGGCTTAGTGGCTAAGAGACTTAGAAAAACATGTAAGGTGGAAGTTCAAACGAACCCTACCATCCCCATTCCCTATCCCGTATCTAGTGGGTCAAAAAAATATGATTATAGGGAGAGAGCACTGAACATGATTTTTTAAGTAGTTTCTCTTCCTTTAGTTAAGAAAATGTGAGAGAGAGAGGTCTATATCTTTATGAACATATAGGTGTATGCGCTGATTTTTTTTTTGCCACTGGTGTATAGATAGTTTGACAACAAACATATTCACAATCATAGCAAAAATAGCGTTGAAAATGGTTTTTGAAGTGGTGTTTTGGTGTGGTTTAAAAAAAATTAGACACAAACACACAGGGTATCTATTATCCAATTTTAAAGTAGTTTATCTCTTCTTAGTCTCCAAATAATATGTGAATTTATTTCGTTTGAAAGAATATTGAAAGGAATTTTGAATGGATGTATGATTATCAGAGACATGCTCTGTTGTCCCATGCTCTTAATTTGCCTAGCCTCTTACCTTTTTACTTTCCAGAGTCTTCTCCACTCAATGCTTTTATTAAAACGCTTCTCCTTTATCTTCTTCGTGAGATTCTTTTTGTTTTCTCTCAACTATTTTTCTCCTTTCTTACTTTTTGTAATTTTTTCTTGTCTCCATTTCACACATCAATTGGTATGTCACTTTCAGAAATCAAGATTATTTATGTTTTCTTCTGAACCTAGTTCCAATCAGAAATCAAGATTGTGTATGTGTTCTTCTGAACCTAGTTCCAAAGGTTTAAATTCCTTGTTAACCAAAATGAAGTGGTTGTGTTTGCATGGAACACCAAGGTCTTAATCATCACTCAGCAGAGTAATACTTTCAATTTTTATTAGATATATCTTTTAAGAGAATTTTGATTCTTCATTTATGTTTGAAACAGTTGAAAGATATTTTAACTAGACCTTTTCATTTCTCTTACCGCATGGGTCTAATGGGGTATGGAAAATACTTTGGATAGCAGTCAAAATCTTGAGTTTTACATCTCGAATAAATTGTTTTAAGTTCACCTTGAGATATGTCATACTGACATATCAATTTATTGATCAGCTCAGTGATGGAGAGTCATATTTGCATCACATAACATAATACATGTTTCACTTACGAAGATTAGGCAATTGCTTTGCTTTGCTCTGTTAGTAATGAATATTTTAATGCTTGTTCATTCTTTTGAACTGCAGCTACCTCGTATTCTGGTTACTGATCCAGTTGCTAGATATTACGGTATGAAGCGTGGACAAGTTGTGAAGATTACTCGACAAAGTGTGACTGCTGATACATATGATACATACCGATATGCTGTATGAGTCTCTTGGAATATATGAACGCATGACTCAGTTCAATCCGCTGGCAGGCTTAAAGCATTTGAAATCCTTGATCTTATGTTTGAGCTTGTGATCTAATGTTTTTATTTGAACTTGAATTTGAAAGTTCCATCAAGTTGATGGTAGCTGCTATTCAAATACTTGCTAAAATCTTCATTCTCTTTCTCTACCATTAATTCCTAGAATATATTTTGTATACAGGATTGCCGGTCAAACCCCAAATTCCGAGTTATATGGTGCCAGATTTCTCTCTTCGACTGAGAAGAAATAAAAAAAAAGGGTTGTAACTATAATTCCGTTAATCCGGACTCTAGATATTAGTTGACACATGATTGATGGCAAACATATGGATGCTTAAGTATTTATTATGTTTTTTTAAATAGAAGAAGAAACTACATTACTTAAAAGTAGCTTTGTCTAGTTCAACAAGTACAGTTATGACATCCGGACAATCCTCTACCCCTTTTTGCTAGCACCATTTGCCTCATGGTGCACATGATTGCATGTCCAAAACTCGAAAGTTGAATTTCATCGGAGTACAAACAGGAGACAAGTTTTTGTCCAGCCGCAAAATCTGTTGTAAGATCCCCATTGCATCCCTTTCAACCTCAATCCTGTGGAAACCCAGTTCAGCCGCAAGCTTCACAGCCGCAAGAGCCTCGATAGTGGCCGGACCTCGACAGCCTTCTATTTGTTTGCACATGGAACCCATCACATCTCTATCATGGTTTCTAGCCACCGCACCTCTTCCCCCAAGACCCTCTCTTATGTCAAGAGCACCATCAAAATTCAGCTTGATGGGATCTTCTGCAGGTACCTCCCACTTTGCTTGTTGCCTTGAAGCGGTCTTTCCCGGGGGCAAACTTGGCTGTATTCTGGTATTTTTACTGTTTGTTGTTTACTACCGCTTTGTTTCTGCTGTTCCATATTGCCCATGCCATTGTTACGATCCTATCCAACTTTGCTGTGTCCAATTTTATAACTACTGAGGACATCCACTCTCCTGCATTCTGTCAATGCTGCCTCTCTACAACTTCATTCAGCATGGCTTCTTTCCAAACTACTGGCGCGTGCGCGCATGCTGTAATTACGCATGAAGGACCGTTTCATCCCCTTGCTTACATCTCGGGCATAGTGCAGAATCCAGCAACTTCCTTTCCTTCAAAGTAGCATACACCGGGAGAATCCCATGGCTCAATCTCCATGCGAAGACACGTATTTTGGTCTCCCATAGTTTACCCCAGCACTCCAGTACTCCATGTTCTTTACCCGCGTCACTCGTAGTTGTATGAACTGTATGAGTTGCTTGCTCGTTTGCTAGTGAAATTCGATAGCCGCTTTTGACATTGTGTTTATCATCTTTGGCGTGGTGCCATATCATCTCATCTTGAGAGTCAACACTGTTGAGTGGTAAAGACATGTTATCCGCCACCGTTTCCCTCTGGAAAGAGCTTTCCAATTTGTCCACATTCCGCTGGTTAGTGCTTGCAGTATATATTATTTATTTGTTTGAAATTTTTTGTTCAATTTTAAAATATTATATTATATTTAAAAAATAAAAAGAAAACTTATTAAAAATAGAAAATTTTAAATTTGATTTATTTTACATTATAATATTTGATAAATTTTATTGAAAATAAGTATTATATTCAATTTTTTTTTAAATAAAAATAGAAAATTTTGAAAATTATTTATTTAAATGATAACACTAGACAAAATACAAAAATATAGTATATCTAAAAATAAAAAACAAAAACTACAAAACTATATTTATTTTTAAACAACAAAATTTGATCAAATATATTTAATATATATTATATTTTTTAAAATAAAAAAATTATTCAAAAATAAAATTTTGAAATTTATTAATTTTAAATTATATTATTTGATGAAAAATATTAAATACATAATATATTTAAAAATAAATTTATTAAATACCTAAAATTTTAAACTTTATTTATTTTAAAAAATAATATTTTAAAAAATACATTAAAAATATATAATATATTTGAAAAATAAAAAACTTGTTAAATATTGAAAATTTTAAACTTATTTATTTAAATTATAATATTTGATAAATATATTAAAAATCTATATTCTATTTAAAAATTGAAAAAAATATTTTAAAATAAAACATTTTGAAATTTATTTATTTTGAATTATAACATTTAATAAAATATATTAAACTTTTCTTAAAAGTGTCCATTTTTTTTTACGTTTTCCTTTTCTTCTTTCTTCCTCTCCTCTATTTTTTTTTTTTTTTTGACTAAAAGATAAAAAATATCCCTTAATTATAATTAAAAAATTATTTAAACTCTTAATATTTTATTACAATAAATTGAGTCTTTAATATTTTATTTCCACTAAATTGAACTTGTGATTAGATGAAATTCAATCACAGGCAAAATCATATCAATCAATTCTAGAATTATAGTCAATTGAATTTTTAAAAGGATCTTAAAGAGAAAGGAAAAAATAAAATAAAGAAAAAAATTTTATTTCATTTAATTTTTACATATATTTATTATGTTATGTGACAAATTTTTATTTATTTTATTAATTCACACGAAATTTTATCTTACATTAATTTTTTTTATCAAAATAAAGATTTAATTAAATACAAATAAATATTCGAAAGGTTGATTGATAATAATATAAAAATAAAATCTTAAATAACTTTTTAATTATAGTTTAGAAAATTTTCAGACCCTTGAGCTTTTTCTTTTCTTTAATCTTTTTATCTCTTTTCCTCTCTTTTTTGTTCATTTTTCTTTTCTCTCCGCTGGTGACGACAAAATTGATGGTTGATTAAGCTGACAAAAAAGTGAAAATATTACATGTTATTGCATTTTGAAACCAACAAATAGCATTTTAAAATATAAAAATCAAAATGATAGTATGTGATTTAAAGTTTAGAAGTCATGAGCATTATTTATCTAAATGTAAACGTAAAAGTTATAACATAAAAGTAAGTTCCGACAAAAAAAAAAAAAAAACAGAGTTACTATGGAAAATTATCTGTAAGCGCGATGGACTGAGAAAATTGAGTAATTGCTATTATAGTAAAAAAATATATTTACTAATAAAGAAATACAAAGTTGTAAAATTGGTCAAAAGAAATTATTTTTACCTTTTTAACCCTAATTACTAATAGGATAAAAGACACTAACCATTGATTCTTGTCCAGTGTCCCTCGCATGTGACTGCAGCCCTTTTTTATTCACAAATTTCTTTTATGGAATACAACCAACATTTTCTTTTATTTAATTCAGTAATTTTTTTAAGTTTCAGTTTTTTTATAAAATTAAATAACTAAAAGATTACTAACTTTTATATTAATGATGGGTTTTTTTTTTTTTTTAATTTTACAAGTAAAATTAGATTCTCACTGTTTCACTGTCTCATATATAAATATATATATATATTGAATAACTAATTAATTTATTAATTTTTAAATATATTTTAATTAGCTAGTGTCAACTTATTAACTTTGTAGGTTTTTAAAAAATCATAACCTGTCAAATTTGTTATAATTTATAACTAATATCATAAGATAATGAATATTAAAATTTCAAAATTAATATAATATAATATAATAAAATTAAAAATGGTTATTCAAATAAGGATAATAAGACAAACAAATAATTAAGCAAAATCAGTAATATTTCTAGTTGAATTTAAAGTCTCCCCTTTCTTTTAAGGTGTGTTTGAATAAGGTATTTTGAGAAAAAATTTTATTTTAATAAAGACTTCTAAATTGTACATATTATTCAGCTTAAATGTATATTTCACAATCCAAAAAAATTGATAAATGAAATCTTTTATTATTATTATTATTATTATTATTTGGATTGAGATTTAGAAACATCTTTTGTAGTTGGACTGAGAAAAAAGATAAAAAATTTTGAAAAATTGATGTAAATCTAAAAATCAAACTAATATTTTTAAGATTTTAAATAATTCGATTTAAATTTAAATAAATGACATCATCAAAATCACATAAATTAAGATCAATTTGATTTGTTATTAGATTTTAAAAATTCAAATGAACCTGAAATAAAAAAACTCATAAATTTGAAATTTTCCGATATCCAATTGAACTTAAGGCCCAGCTCAAAACATTTATCTCATTCACCCACTTTACCCAATTCATTAACTTTTTTTCAATTAAAAAATAGAACCCCACTCTAAGACCAAGTCACTAACTCTCTCGACTTCCTCTGTCGACAAACATTTTAGTCCTAACCTTAAATCTCACTCTCCTTCTCAGTTCTCACTCTTTCATGACGCCTCTCCCACTTCATCACCCTCGACAGTCAGCCTTACTTCACGCCTCATGTAGTCACCGTCCCTCGTACTTTTGCACTCTAGCTCCAAAGAACATCACAAATCTTCTAAGGTAAGTCTTAGTTAAGAAAAAAAATAATTTTTTCCTTTTTCAACAATTACAAACAAGGCAATGCAAATTCATTGCAATATTACCAATTTTCCTATTTGTGGCTTTTGTGTCATTCCAGTGTTTATTGTAGCCGCTAAATTCTCAATTTATGATTAAACATTTATTCAATTCAAAATTAAATATTTTATTTTTTATGAATAAATTATCAAATTATAATAATATAAAATTTTTTTGACAGAATTGAAAAAAAGTACATTACAAACACCGTCAACTCAAGTGAGATATTAAATTAAACACACATGTCATTTTTGGTGATATGGCAAGTCAATAGTATTATTTTTTACTGATGTGGCAATATTGTTGTCCACATATTTCAATTAATAACATATCAATTTAAATCATAATTTGAAAAATAAATTCTAGTTTAATTAATTAACTTCTAAAAGAAATTTATCTCTCTCAATCTTTTTTCTCAAGTTGCCTCATCCAAAAACTCTTCTAACAGTCAACAACTTTCCTTGCTTTGCCTTGGTTATTTCCCGTAAAAAATCTCAATCATTTTCCAATGTTTTTCTCTTTTTTCTTCCTTTAAGTTTTCAAATAAACAAAAACATAGCCCAAGCATTACCAATCTCATTCTCAACAATTAGATTCGAAAAGCATAAGGGTTCAACTTTGAATTCGAGTCACAAAGCTTTGAATCAACGAAAGATTCTTTACATCTTCATCCATGGCAAAGCTAGGGTTCTTTTGATTTAAGGTAAGATTGTTTTTTTCTTAATCAAAACCCTAGGAATAGAAAATTTAGGGAAAGGGTTTTTGGGTTTGGATATTGGGCATTATCTATTAGGAAATTAAAGTTTTTGGAGTGTTTGGTTGTTGAAAAAAATCTTGAGTTTTACTTAGATTCTCTTTTGGAAGTCTATAAAAAGGAAGATGAGATTGTATTCTTGAGATGTGCACTTGAAAGATGGCTTCACTTATTGTAGAATCTTTCACACTGCTTGTGTGTTTGCTTTTCAGTTAAGCTTTTTAGGTATCTTTTGGCATTAGTTCTTTTTTTTAAACTAATTCTAGGTTTTGATTGTTGATTGAAATTGTATCTTGGTTTTGATCATTGATTGAAATTGTATTTGGGTTTTGATTATTGATTGAATTACATCATTGTGGTATTTTTTTCAGGCAAGAAATTAGAAAATAAAGTCAAAAAAATACTAAAATTTTTTAAAACTTGAAAAATTCTATATCATTTCATCTGTTACTTTTTTCAAACTCAATGGCGCGTGTCTTTCACAATCACATTTTAGTCTAAAAAAGTCCTATATTGTTATAAGTCAATAATGTTTAATCCTTATTTATATAAAACAAAACATATAGTTTGAGCAACCAAGTAAACATTCACTCATAAATTGAGCAATTAGTCTCTCTAAATATGGTTTTAGCACTTGACGGTGTGTTCTTGATCCATTTTGTAGTTCTTTAACTCTAAAAATGGTTAAGGCCATTATATGCACATGAAATTAGCTATAATTTGCTTATGTGCTAGTTGAAAATAAAGAAAATAAGATGTAAGTAAAACGTTAAATACGATATGTATTATAACTTAATTAGATATATTTATGCTATGTGTTCATCATCTATCATTAGTAATAGAATTGACTAAAATCTTTAGTGATTATAAAATTTATAAATATTATTATTTATATTTAATTTATATTTAAGTTAAATATTTAAATATAATTTAAATATAATTACTTAATTTAAGTATAATAATTAATAACAATTTTAAGTCTTGTAATAATAATTTATTAATTAATAATTATTAATTTATAATTTCATTTTTTTATTATGATTTCTATTTTATTATTTTCTTTTCATTCATCATTACATTTTGTTTATTTCATTCAAGTTATAAATTACAAAAATTTAACTAAACCCCTTCTAATTTTTTATTTTTTTTATTTTTTAGAGACTTGATCTTTAATGAAACAAATATGATCAACGATGATTGACATTAATAGAAGAAGGTAATATTTTGATTTCATTTTTAGTTCTTTTCATTATAAATTGATTTTTTCTCTTTTATTATGGATATTCTTTTTGTTCTATTTTCAGGAAATTGAAGATAGTAGGAATTTAACAACAATATTTCTACTAAATATGAAATTAATTTTGCAAATTATTATTCTTAATTTCATATCATAGAATTTTGAAGTTACATTTTTCATATAGTTATTTTATTTTTATTTTGAACTTGCTTTTAAGTAACCTAGTAGGATGATATAGTTTGGTACTTTGGCTCATGTGGAATGGAGCCTATTTGGTGACTTGATGTAATTGTTAATATCTATTTCATTGTGTTTTGCTATTTTGTTTGAAAACTTTCTAACTAAAGAGTGTTTGTGGATGATTAAATGTTTGTTATAGTGTTCATTGCCATTTTGGGATTACTTTTTAAATGATTTGTTTATAATGGTTTATATTTGTTTATATTTGTTTAATCAAATATATTATTGATTGGAGAATCATTCTTGAATATTACAAAGATCACGTCCCTCATGAACATAAAATTAACTAGGTGAAGCTAGTATTAACTATTCAGTACAAGTTTGAAGAGGCTATGTGATGACAATAATAATAAAAAAAAAGGCATTATACTAAAACTGAAGTCTTATGACAAGCTTACTTGGTAGTTAGTAGGTGCATCTTCACAGATCCATTCGTTCAAATTTATCATGCCTTCATCTTCAAGTTTATAAGAATTAATCTTGGCTAAAACAATAATAAAAAAAAACCTTAAACTTTATAACTTGACTTAGATAAGCTCTTAATCTTTAATTTGTACCCTAATAAGTCTTTAAAATTTTAATTTGCACTTAAATAAGTCCTCCACATAAATCATTCTTTCATTTGAAATAAGGATTTTTTAAAAAATAAAATAAGGACTTATTTGGATATAAATTAAAGTATAAGGGCTTATTTGAATACAATAAAAGTATAAGAGCATATTTAAGAAAAATGGAATAGGTAAGAGGCTTTTTTAGTGTTTTAGCCATTAATCCTTTTTTTTTTTAAAAGAAAAGTCATCCATATATTAAACTATAAAACCAATATCTTTAAGTACAATATTATAAATTATCTTAGGGCATTCCTTTATCCATTGCCTAATATTTTCCTGTGCAATACTTATTTTGCTAAAATATGGGCTGGTTCATTTTCTCTTTTCCTAAAATGGGTAATCCTACATGAATTAAACTTTGCCGTCAAGTCTTTGGCATCGTCTATTATCACACTGATAAGGGAGAGGTCTCTTTTTAAAGAGTTTAACTTTTTAACAATAGTAAAAGCATTGCCTTCCAAAATGATATTGGAGAAACCCCTCTCCTTGGCAAAAGCAAGACCCTTTGCTACTGCTATAACTTTAATATAAAAAACATTAGTTACCTAAGGAACAAATTCTGCACAGGCTCTTTTAACGTTGCCACTATCATCCCTGATAACCACTTCAATCCCACCTAGTCTTCTATCTCTATTAACTACCCCATCGAAGTTAACTTTGAATTGTCCCTAATTTGGTGTTGACCATTTACATTGAATATGTTCTCCTCTTACTTTCTTTTGCTCTTGGGCTGTTGTGAACATTTCCAGATAATTTTTAGCAAATAATGTTGTCTTTTTTGCCTCTTTTTGCCCTTTACCATGAACTTCATTATTTCGGTTTGACCAGATTACCTAGCACACTATTAAGAATAAACGAAACCTCAATAGATCATTTATGTCAAGCACATGAAGTATACAACTCAACATTTTAATGAAGTCTTCCTCATCATCCCAGTTAAACCCAAGATGCGACCATACTACTTTTGCATGTAGGCAATCCTTCAATGCATGGATCACAGATTCATTTGCCTTCTATATCTTGGACATGTGACCCTATGCATAACTTGCTTATTTACTAGGTTAAGGTAAATTGGGATGCTACCTTTACTTATCTTCCAACCCAATATTCTGACCTTCGAAGGAACAAACTCTAACCATATTCTACATCAAAGCATCTTGCATCGGGTGTTATTTCCACTTTCACCCTTATTCACCTCTGTCTCTATACCATTCCTTATAAGAGTCCATATCCATTTCTTATGGTGTATTCCCCATTATTGAAATGCCATACCAATACGTCCTTAGCACCATTTTTGTTAAGTGGTAATGAGCACATGGCAGCTGCGTCATCTTCTTGAAATGTTTCTTGAATTAGTTCGTTATTCCAACTGTGTGTCTTTCCTAATTAGCCTTGATACCAAGCTGTCTTCCTCTCAGATTCCTTTTGGCAACAAGATCTTGAAGCCTTCATTAATAGGTAACCATTGGTCAGTCTAAATTTTGACAAATTTACCATTCCTAATTCTCCATCTTATCCTTTGTTTAAGAAAAGATTTTGAGTTCCATATACTCCTTCATGTCATGGAACGGCTGATACCCTAGAGTAAACTCCATGAAAGTCACATTATTAAAGTATTTTGCCTTCAATACCTTGTGAAGCAGAGAATCCATATTAATCACAATCCTTCTGCCTTGTTTAGCTAGCATAGCTAAGTTGAAATTTGCCATTTCCCGTAAAACCTAGCCTGCTATCAATCTTTGGCCTACATATCAACTTTCCATTAATCCAATGAATGCCTTTCTTTGCCTTTCTTATTTGCCACCAATATCTATTTATCAATCCATTTATATCATTGCAAAGAAACTTTAAGAGTTGAAAACACCTGATTGCATAGGATGGGATAGCTTGAAGGATGGATTTTATGAAAACTTCTTTCCCCCTCGAGATAGTGTTTTGTTGGTTTATAGAGATAGAAAAAAACTCATGAGAATGAACAATGAAAATATGAAACTAAAAATGTTGTACTTCTTTTTCATTCGATATAACTTCCTTAAATACAAAAAGATTTTACCCTAAAACTAGAATGACTGCTAGTTACAAGGCATGATCTTCTTATTTGCAAGCCATAAACAAAAATCACTAACACACAACTAATTTTCATAAACCACCAACACACATCTAACTTTCATAAGCCACTAACAAACATTTAACTTTTATAAACCACTAACATACATATAATTTTTCATCACACATTACCAGCCTATGTCTACATAATGCAGCTGATAAGGTATTCTTATAGAGCTCCCCTTACCTCAGTAGCTGTAAAGACCTAGTTTACTTCTTAAAGCTTCGAATCTAGCTTTGGATAGGGCTTTGGTTAACATATCTATAATTTGATCCTCAGTTCTACAATAAAGCAAACTGACTTCACCTTCTTTTTACATTTCTCTTAAGAAATATAATTTGATCTTAAAATGTTTAGTCATATCATGAAAAATAAGATTATTTGATATTGAAATTGCAATTTGGTTGTCTATATAAATATGTGTTAACTCTTTCTCTTCTATGTGTAAGTTTGCAAGTATCTTTCTAAGCTAAACTACTTGATTCACAACTGTAATGGCTACAGCATACTCAGCCATAACCATACTCTGAGCTATCACTTATTGTTTTTTGTAGCACCATGAGAACATTTTTATCCGAATCTAAAGAAAAAAACCTATTGTGCTTCTTATGTCATCAACTGAACCTACCTTATCACTATTAAAGTAACCATAGAGCTTAAAATCCTAACAGTCAAAATATTTGATACCATAATTTATTATGCCCTTAATATATCTAACAATACTTTTAGCAGCTTGAAAGTGCACCTCACTAACATAATGCATGAATCGTGAGACCAGGCTCACTGCAAACATAATGTCTGGTCTATTGGTAGTAAGATACATCCAATAACCAATCAAACTTATATACTAACCTTCATCAATTTTGTCTGATCCATCATCCTTGCTAAATTTTTCCTTCTGATTCACTGGGGTATTTGTGCATTTGTAATCCTTTATATGAAATTTCTTAAGTATTTCCTCTGCATATTTGTTTTGGCATATGAAGACTCCATCCTGATTTTGCTTCACCTCCATTCCCAAAAAATAAGACATTAGACCAAGGTCTGTCATCTCAAATACTTTGAGCATTTTGGCTTTAAATTCTTTTATTAGCTCTTCATCACTTCCTGTCATAAGCATGTCATTAACATAAATAGAAACTATGATCAGATTAGCATTAGTTTTTTTTACATACAATGTAGCTTCACTTAGGCTTTTAACAAAACTAAGACCTAACAGGTGTTCATCAATCCTATTGTACCAAGCTTTGAGAGCTTATTTAAGGCCATACAAGGCCTTCTTTAACATGTAGAACTTCTTCTCTTATCCCTTGACTTGGAAACTTTTGGCTACTCCATAAAGATCTCTTTTTGTAAATAACCATTTAAAAACATAGATTTTACATCTAGTTGGTAAACCTTTCATCTTTTTTGTGCTGCCAAAGCAAGTAACATTTTGATTGTATCAAGTCCTGCTACTAGAGTAAAGGTTTCAGAAAAATCTACTCCAAACACTTGAGCATACCCTTTCACAACTAATCTAGCTTTATATTTATTTACAAAACCATTTGCATTAAGTTTGGTTATATAAACCTATTTGACACCTATAGATTTTTTGTGTTGAAGTCTATCCATAAGCTCTTAAGTGTCATTCTTTTCAATAATTCTAAGCTCCTCCTTCATTGTTTTAATCAACTTGTCATCCTTCTTTGCTTTTTTAAACTCTGTAGGCTCAAAACAGCAACATTGCACCTTTTATTTATTAAGCAATAGCCTTGTACCACTGATTGGTACTTCATCTATGGCATCTTTAGGATTTTGCTGAGACTTTGAGTGTTGCTCCTTTTTTGACTCCTTCTAATTCTATTGTCTATCCTTCATGAACTTAACGTCTTTACTCATAAGAATGTTTTCATTTTGTAGTTGAAAAATTTTGTAAGCCTTGGATGAGCTGTTATATCTAATAAAGACTCTTGGTTTTGCTTTTTTGTCTAGTTTGTCTTTTTTTACTTGTGGCACATAAGAAAAACATAAGCAACCAAGGGTTATTAGATGCTGCAAGTTTGGTTTATAACCAAACCATGCATTAAATGGAGTTCTCTTCTACAAAACCTTGGTTGGTAGTCAGTTTAGTAGAAAGACTACTATGTTTGTAGCTTTTGCCCACACTTTGTCATCTCCATTATGATTATGTTTTTCCTTTCACTTACTCTATTTTACTGTAGAGTATAAGGTGCTATAAGTTGGTACTCAATACCAGCTTCTTCACAAAAATTTTTAAACCTACCAGAAGTGTATTCCTTCTCATTATTTGACCTTACCACCTACATTCTA